AGGGACGAGCCCATAATTCTCTTTTCTGTAAATAGGACAACGACCTCTCAACGAGTGGTTCCACTTTATTATACGCTACTACTTTAAATTTTGCCGTTTAGCAAATCAGTTTATTATTAAAATTTAAAGTCATGAATTGAATAACATTTACAGAATACGGTAAGATATTCTAAACGTACAAAAATTAATATTTTTAGTTAACAGGAGTAGTGAAATGTTTGTGATAAGTAGCCTATATAATTGATTATTTTTAAAATCTGTTTTGAGGGCTTAAAAAGGTAAATGTTAGGTTAGGTTCGATCCCAGACGCAAGCTAAACAGTCTTTAACCCTTTGAAGCCGAAGATCGTCTGAATATTATTTATGAATTCAGTCCGTACCGCGAAGAAAACACTACACCTCACCGTTACGAAAATCAGCTGGTTAACCCTTTGAAGCCGAAGCTCGTCTTCATAATATTTACGAATCCAGACCGTACCGCGAAGAAAACACTTCACTTAACCATTAGAAGTCGAATCAGGCGGTACCACATAACATTTAACAAAAGAACATCCCGGGCAAAGCCTTAATGAACAACTATTAAAACATACACAAAGTACGGTTTCTCGGTATATATTAATAGAAATGAAAACCTGAAAATTCGAGACACATCCTAGACAAATTATAGTCTGCATGTAGTTTCATTTCAGTATTAGACCATACAGCTTCATCTCTTAAACGTTGCAAAATTACTCATACGACCTCGTCTTCATCACACTTACAAAGCACGATTTGTTTTAAACGAAATCAAACAATTATATATAAAGACAAATATTATTTACGTAATATACACGCCCAGAAATATTCTTGCAATTCATATAACACAGGCCTATGATCAAATGTGGTAAAATTGTTCTTATTACGCTATTTTATCTGGAAATTAAAATAATCTAAAAAAATGGTGTCATGACATTACGGAGGCACAAATTTGTTTTGTTCTCAAAAATATTACAGCAATCTCCAATTACTCTATGGACCCTATTAAATCGCTTCTTAGTAGGTACTGAGATTCTCACGGTAACGAGTACGAACATGGTTGGTTTCTGGGTTGGAATTTACCATCTTTTCAGAGGTATATACTGGCTCCATCATTCATCGCCCTGATGATGGATGTAGTAAGGACCTCTGAAACGTTGGTAAACATTGACCAGACTACACAGCGCAACAACCCAGAAGACAGAAATCTTCATACTCATCGCCCTGATGACGGAGGCAGTATGACCTCTGAAACGTTGGTTAACATCGACCAGACTACACAGCGCAACAACCCAGAAGATAGACATTCTCCGCTTATCACACGCGGCGTTGTGGTCGTGTGTCCTGTAAAAAGTTACGCGTTCATGCACACCAATGTTCCCTCTGCAGAAGCCATTCAATATCAACGACAAACACAAGACTTCGGCCTGTGACTGTCCCGGACAATAACGCGCCTATATTTTAAAAAGTGTACTGACTTAAATTAATTTTAGGCGTAGGCTTACACATTAAGCGGTTACTAGACTAAAATAACTTAACTTACGTCCAAACTCTTTTGAGGCAAAAACTTTTCAGGACTTTAAATGCAACAAATGTTGAACGCACGAGTGAGTTACCACCTCAAAATGCACAAAATTCTGAACGAAATCATAAGATCACGTACCTCCAAACAAACACAATGTGAACGAATTATTTTCAGTTCACAATTCATTGCCACGTTCCCATCAATCACGTTAGTAAGAAGAGCCACTGAGTTCAATTAGTTGTTCGCCCTTGTGATTTATTCATTGAAGTCCCAATCAAATAGCAATCCCGGTCAATATTTGTACGCACTTCTGTTCCTCACTCCATTAAAACACGATCAACGAATATAAAATGTCTATCTCCCCCTCATCCTCCCAAAAAAAAAAAAACCATCACCTCCTCATTCCAGAACAAAATTTTAAAAACCACTTACGATCTCCATGTTAAGTACGAAACTAACAAACGAACTAGCCCATTAACGAACAAATTATTTAAAGTGTTAAACTGTTCTTTTGGATAATATTCCAGGCTACCCTGAGGACGAGTACTAAGATGGTTCTTGAAACGTTGGTGATTTCTTCATTAAGCTTCCTGACACGAGAAGAATTTATCATACTTAGTCGCCGTGAAATCTACAGATAATGTTCGAAAAGCACCCATCTGTCGGGCGGCTCGGCTGAGCTAGCCTGAGGCCTGGTCTAGGTCTGAGGCAGAATCCAAAATAAACTCAGCAGTTTGTCCAAAAGAGAAATTTTACGCGAAACAAGGCACCATCGTCAAACTCCTACCACCTAACAACTTAACCATAAGCAAATAAAGATTAAACCTGGAACGTGGATTCAACCAATTACCTGTCATCTATCAGAAAGGTTCATCGCCGTTACCACAGGTCTAGCAACTGTTGGAGTGTCCTGCTCTACACAGACAATTAATATCCTTCATAATATGCCCCATGTCTGATTCTGTCACCCAGTTCTCAAGTCCATCGAGGTCTTTCAGGCCCGTTTCTTGTTTCAATCATACGTGCTACGTGACCCTCCCTTCCAATCATCGTTCAAAGAAAACACAAATGTTTAAATTCATATTAACACAAAGTGTTATGTATTTATATATGTATATATATATCTTTACAGTGAAATATTTCAAAATGAAATGTACAACAAATATACACAGAATACAATATACAATAAATACATTTAAATGTCCTATGTATGTGTGTGTTTTTAGCGCGAGTAGTGGCCTACTTTATTGTGCTCTCACACAGATATAAACACAAGGAGATGAGACACACAACTTTCCACAAGTTGATAATAACAGAATTTCTTCACGATAGCTAAACTCAACACAACAAAATTATCAGCGCCTTTGTGAACTTACAAGCCACCAGAATGAATTACAAACTCAGCGTTAATCTTCGTTCACACGAAACAAAGTATTATTTACAAATTAGCGATGCCAGTTTTGACAGTTTTATTTTTTAATAGATGGGTTAATGACTACATACATCAGGAGCGGTTGGTGTCCCCCTTTCGTTTTAAGTCACAGCTCCATTGGGGACGGACCTAACAGAGATCAATTCCAACAAAATATTAAAGGTCACGACGATAAGGTACCATCAGCGTTTTATAATATTTTACATTGGCACGATGCGGCTAAGATGGAGGATAATTGAAAAAAAAAACCCACCCTGATGCAAATTTCTACTTCTCGTCTCAAACTAACTCCCAGCTACTTAAATCTTGTACTGCACGTACGTATAATTTCATCCATTTTAATATTATTAGTCCACGTCATAATAATGTTACAACTCGGACAAAGGCCAAGTTAATAATTTTGCTATCTCCATATTGTATTTCACAATCTACGATGTTGCCTGGTCTGAAACAGATTGGTTTAATTTAATTTTCCACGTGAAATTTAAACTAGGCCTATGGCTAAGGGGGGGGGGCTGATTATGTAAAATGTAAAATCCTATCAGATTTATCGGGTTGCTATCAAACGACTCTGTATCAACTGCAGAAGTTATCACAATGACTTGTGTAGATACAGGTCTACATTGAACTGGAAATTACTGAGAATTAGGCGATTGTGGATGATACCAACAGGCTGTATACCATGGGAACACCCAGGAGGGACTGATAAAAACCACGTAAAACCTCAGTGATGATATTTCTAACCATTGTCCCTCGCTTTTCACATCCTAAAAAGTCAAATACGTTTTTAAAATAATCTTCGGTCTATAATTTCTATTTATCTAAATATAATTTATCCTTAAGTATTTTAAATCAATGTGTGATAGTTATTAGCTTTCCTAATAGCAAACATTTCATACATCACACAATAGAATTCGTTGCATTAATATTCCGAGACACTAGGCCTACATTACCTTCAAATCACAATCGATTTAGCAGCCAAATTTCTTATTCAACTAACTTACACAGTTAATATATCGTCACGAAATAAAGTACCGTATTTCCTCGATTTTAATAACGCAGACTTCATTTAGTAACAGGATTTAAGATGAAAAACGTATATTACTAAACAGATTATCAACATTCAGACATAAACTTTCTTTGTGTTAACATTTTCGGAATATTATTTGTTGTTGTGTTTGTATTTACTGACCCATGACAAGTGTTACGGACATGGAGAATTTCCTTAAGCTCAAGTCACACATTAGTTTTTCGACATCGATTCTAAAGACGCAGCCAAATTTCAAGAATTTTAAAGTGTAAAAAAAAAAATCTTAAAATCGAGGAAATGCCGTGTATAAATCGTGAAGATAGACACAGTAATTTTGTAAAGGTTCAAAACCTGTGCTCACCAAAGATAGATACAGGTCATCATAAATCACAACTCCTTTCGAAAAAAATGTTAAATCACATTGACAAAGGCCAATCAAATGATATACAGACTACTTTAAAAGCAACTCTGAAATTCCCCGCATTTCGCCTCTCGAAACCTGTATTTTATTCCCAGTTAATATTATTTTATCAAATCTAAAACTTCTTAACGATGGTGAAGATTCAATTGAATAAAAATTTCCTTGGATATTATCCATCGTCTAGTAAAATATAAAACGTAAAACGACGTTTCGTCCGGAGATAGGGATTAGCTCTATCTGTGTAGGAACCTGAAGACGGAGATAGAGTCCCATCTCCGAAACGTCGTTTTACTAGACGATGTATATAATATCCAAGGAAATTTTTATTCTATATTATGTTAAGTCGCTTTCCATAATACGAATCTGCTGAATTCTTAATACAGAAATGGCAAATTAAACCACACGATAAACTGATCATAAAGATATTTAATGAGTAACTCGTATTTAAAACGTCTCCATTCCCTCAGCTTTCGTCGAAAGTCTACACCGATTCTCCCTGAATGAGTATTATTTCCAAGCCGCCTTCCATCATAGCCGCGACAGATTTTGACTAACATTTTACCGCGATTGTTGCACAATTAGCTGGGCCTGGACGCCAGGACTGTGATGGGCTTGAATATGGGCTGCGGCTCTGGGCTACTGCTACAGCTAGACGAAGCTGTGGTTGCAGATGGAGCTGCCGTCTGCACGAGCGGCGTCGACGTTCCCGCAA